CGATGGATCCTTTAAGACTTTTATTCCTCCAAATGAGTACTATATGATGCAATAAAAAAAATTTGATCTTGACGGAGAAATTCAAATTTTTCGGCAACTTTATTTACAGATCTCCACCGATTCAAAGCTGTAGAATCAACTGGTGAAGCCACGACAAAACATTTTGTAAAATACAGGGTTATACCCTGTACATACATGCTTTAGAAGTTTTGACTGGAAAGAAACTCAGAATGAAAACAGCAAAAGATACAGAACCAACCAAAAGAGGAAGATGCTATCAATGTATGAAGGAAGCTAAAAACAAACGAATAGAATATAATAATTTATCGAAACCAAAGCAAAGCTGCTACAAATGTAAAAATCTCGTATGTAGAAAGCACTCAGAAAATATTATATTCTGCCATTCATGTATAACATCAGACGAATCATGAGAAGAATCAAGTTTAGACTAGTTTCATGCTAGTATACACTATCATATAATATTATTCTTTTTTATAAATATACATATAAATACAATGCAAAAAATATGCTATATAGTTCATAAAGCATCACATGTTCAAATATTACAAAACTTTTTACAAAAAACAATTTTTTTTTAGGATAAATGAGTAAAAAGTAGTGTGGGTTCGAGGACCCTCCCCCGTTGGGACTCCGCGGGACGGCTCGAGGCTTGGGAATGGTAGGGTTGAGTGCGTATTAATTCATTACATGTACTTTCTATGTATATAAAATCTTTAACAGAAAGGATTAATTTTCACAGAGATATCGCGTCCACGCTTATGTGAAACAAGCTACATCAGAAGCGTCAAGGAAAAAATGATTGAAAAAGGTACAGATTAATAATTGTAAACTAATAGCATTAATAGATTCTAGCAGCGACCTAAATTTAATGCGAGCTGATCATTACGTAAAAATTGGCGCACCTAGACTAAATAATAGAATTTTGCGAATTCGTGGTGTTAGAGTAGAGAGTAATTATACGTTAGGAGAATTTTTTATAACTATAAAATGAAATAGATTTATTGCATGTTACAGTTCCTGAACATAGAGAAATAATAAAAGATTTAGTTGAAAAGTATAAGTCTAATAAAACACGCAAAGTAGGGGTTACAATGAATATTGTTCTCAGTGACGATATACCTACCTGTTTACCAGAGACCGCGAAGATTATGCCCTCAAGAAAAGACCGAGGTCAATGAACAAACAGATCCATGGGTAAAAGGTGGAATTGTGAGACTATCGCATTCAAATTATGCAAGTCCCATAATACTAGTTAAGAAAAAGAATGGTTCGACCAGAATCTGTGTAGAATATAGACAGTTAAACTAAAAAATAATAAAGAACAGATACCCTTTGCCTTTAATAGAGGACCAATTAGATTCACTGCAGGGCGTGAAAATACTTAGCACCCTAGATTTGAAGAACGGTTTCTTTCATGGACCCGTCGAAGAGAAAAGTCAGAAATATACCGCTTTTGTTGTACCCAATGGCCATTATGAATTTTTAAAAGTACCTTTCAGACTCTGTAATTCCCCAGCTATTTTCCAAAAATTTATACATGCCGTGTTTAGAGAATTAATAGCGTCTGGCATCGTCCGCACGTACTTAGACGATATAATAGTTCTAGCCAATAATATTATAAAAACAATCGAAAACTTTAGAGTTGTATTAGAAGCAGCACGACAATACGGATTAGTCATTAACTGAAGTAAATGTAGCCTCTTACAAACAAGAATAGAATACTTAAGGCATATTGTCGAAAATGGGTGTATTCAACCGTCGAAATAGAAAACCAGTGCCGTAATGAAATTTCCGAAACTCAAAGTTCAAAGTTTCTTTAGGATTGACGGGATACTTTAGGAAGTTCATCCACCAATATTCAATTATAGCACGTCCATTGTCGAATTTGTTGAAGTATTTCTAATAACACCCTGTAGAAATAATCAAGTGAGGACGACAATGTCTCAGCGTTCTTTTAAACAAAGGTACTAAGACTTTCACTAGATGTGTCTGGTGTTCGTCTTAGATTCAAGCACTGCACACTGCGATATAATAAAGTAAACAGTTCCTAGGTATAAGCGGGCCCCAACTTTCCTTTTTGGGTGTCCAGGAACAGTTCGTTAGAGCATTTGAAACAGTAAAGACGTTTCCTCTGAATCCGATAATAAATAGTATATTAACAGTTTACAAAGACTATTTCACTTCCATAACCCATTTCCAATAGGTTATGGCCCAGATTGCGTTGTATAAACTATTTTAGTGTAAAAACTGTGTATTGTGGTGTTTAAACAATATTTAAAATATAGTTACAGTATAAACGTTATATATTTACGTGTCTTTAGTTTAATAATATTTGATTTAGTTCTAGTGCTTAGTGTTTTAGTGTAGTTAGTGTTTAGTGGTGAAAGATACAAGATGTGGAAGTTAGGAATACGCGCGTTGATGAATGAAACAGATGTTCTTAAAGTTATAGATAAAGACATTCCTACAAAGTTAAGTGTTGAATGGATCAGAGCGGAAAGAGTAGCCAAGAATCTGATAGTAGAATATTTATCAGACTCATTTCTGGGTTTTGTGCAAACTGGAAGTACAGCGAGGGAAGTATTAAAAGGCTTAAACGCGATCTACGAAAGGAAGAGTCTAGCCACTCAATTAGCCGTAAGAAAAAAACTATAGAGTCGCAAATAGCAGAGTGATGCGCCATTGATAAAACACTTCACCATTTTTGATGACCTAATTACAGAATTATCAGCAGCAAGAGCAAAATTGAAAGAAACAAACTTTCACGCCTACTGTTAACTATCCCTGCATCGTACTGTTAGGATAAACACGAATTTCCACCACTCCTTACACTATGGGTGGAGGGCCATCTTCACGCCGCGCGTCAGTTTTCCCTAAAAGTTGTAACTTCAGTTTATTAATTTTGTTAAGAGTTGATCTTCGGAATTAAAAGAGTTATTTTTGTGAACGGAATACTGAGATTTTTGAAGTCCCTGTTAAACTGCGGCATAACAGTACGATGGTGTGATTACGGCCATCGAGACATTGTCAGAAGACAATTTAACTGTATCGTTCGTGAAGATGAGACTTTAGATCACGAAGTGAAGATAAGAACGGAGAACGATTGTACACGTATGAAAGTACTTCATATACAAACCGTCAAAAGAAATAAAGCTCTGGCTCAAAAATCATTCTTTAAAAATAAAGCAATGGAGAAATCAGGAAATTACAGCAACAAAGGTCCGATGATAAAATATCATCAATGTGGGAGATATGGCCACAAGACAAAGGACTGCTATCACTACACGAGGAACCAGCAATACAACGAGGAAAGGAAAAGAAGTATACAAACGGTTCAAATTTCTGAACCACGTGGCTCGCAAGAAAATACTTCCGGATTCGCCTTTATGGCTGGAAACCATCAAGTTCAAAAATCTGAAGAAAAATTAACATTTTCACTGGATTCAGGTGCCTCGGATCATATAATAAAAACGGAAAATTTATTTTCCAAATATGTTATGCTGCAACCGACGGTGAAAATCTCAGTTGCCTAAACTGGGACTTTCATAACGGCGACGAAGAAAGGAAATATCAATGTCACCAGCAATTTAGAAATTGACGGTATACTAGAAGACGTCCTGTACTACCCAGATGTGCCGTACAACTTATTGTCGGTGCGAAGAATGCAGCAGGCAGGTTTGCGCATCACCTTCAACGAGGAAGGGATCGAGATAAGCAAAAATGGTAAAATGGTAATGTATGGTAAGCCCATGGACAATTTAATAACTATTGATTTTAAAGTTAATGTAAAAAGAATAGGAAACAGAAATTCTCAGATTCATAACGCAATAATTAATAATTATGAACTGTGGCATAAACGCCTAGGCCACATTGGCAAAGCTAAATTCTTGGAATTGAAAGATAAACAAATGGTCGACAACATAGAGTATATTGAGAAAGTTATACCTACAAATAATTTATGCGAAACTTGTATAAATTGCAAATAAGCAAGATTACCATTTGAAAAAGCCATAGATAAAAATCATATAAAACGACCACTGTTTATTGTTCACTCAGATATTTGTGGTCCTATCACTCCATCTACTATTAATGATAAAAATTATTAGGTATTATTCGTAGATGAGTACACTTACTATTGCGTCACATATTTAATCACTTATAAGTCAGATGTTTTTTCTGTCTTCCAAGATTTTGTTGTAAAAAGTGAGGTTCACTTTAATTTAAAAATCGTGAATTTATATTGTGACAATGGTTTTTTTTTTCTCCAAGAATCTTTACAATTTGTCTAGCAAGGACATTCGGTAAATTGTAGTATCGGGTTTGGTTAATATTAACACGTAGAAATTATCCCTGTGGATAACATCTGTTGAGGCTTGATGCCGTTAGGATAGAAGATCCTTTGGGTGTTTCCTATGCAGTCTGCGAGGCAGACTGGTTTTATACAGTTTTTTTGCTAGGTCGTTGGGATGACTGTCTATTCTTTTTTTATAGCTGTCGCAGCGACTAGTGATTTCATCAGAAACTGTTTCAACTTGGAGGTCCTTCCGAAGGTCGTCATTTCGAACATACCATGGAGCATTGGTTACTGTTCTAAGAATTATAGATTGTAATGACTCAATTTTAGCAATGTGGCTTTTGGCTGCCATGCCCCACATCTCGATGCCATAGGTCCAGATGGGCTTTATAATTGCTTTGTAGATTAAAAGTTTATTGTCAAGACTTAATTTAGATTTTTTGCATGTAAGCCAGCACATGTTTCTCCTCTTGATGCGGATTTGGTCGATTTTAGAACGTATGTGTGTTTCCATGTTAATTTTGAATCCAAGTGTAGTCCCAGTTATTTCACTGATTTGGTTTGTGGTACGGAAGTATTGTTGAGTTTAAGATCCGAAATAGTACCATTCTTTAAGGTGAACCTTAAGGTGAAAAGGTTCTTTTATTTTCCATCGGTGCAACCATTCTTCTAATTTTGTGATATATTACTGTAAGTTATCATACGCTGTCTTTGGGTCATTGTGGGCAGATAGTATAGCTGTGTCGTCTGCGAATGTAAATGTATCAGTTTCAATCACGGTTGGAATATCTGCTGTATATAATATGTACAAAAATGGGCCCAAGACACTACCCTGTGGGACGCCGGCTTCTAAGTCGTAAATGTCGTAACACTCGTCTAGATATTTGACGAAAAAGGTTCTTTGCTTTAAGTAGGATTTGATGAGTTTGTAGTAGGCCTTGGGAAATTTTTGATCAATTTTGTGTAGTAGACCTTCATGCCAGACTTTGTCAAATGCCTTTTCTATATCTAGAAAATGTGCCGTGCAGTATTGCTTGTGTTCGAGAGCATGTGTAATCTTATTTCTAAGTCTGTGTATCTGTTCCATTGTTGCGTGTTTGTTTCTGAATCCAAATTGATGTGACGGTATTAGGTTTTGCTCTATACTTATCTGTTTCATTCTTGTCAATATTGTTTTTTCCAATATTTTCGATGGTGTGAACAGTAGAGGGATAGGTCTATAGCATGATGGCAAGTGCAGATTTTTGTCGGGTTTATGTAGCATGATAATCTGTGCTATTTTCCAATTAATGGGAAAGTATTGGGTTCTTAGTATAGCATTAAATATTATGGTTAACATTCTGACAGCTTTAGGTGGAAGTTCTTTGATGATTTTTCTATTAATTAGGTCGAAACCGGGAGTTTTTTTAATTGAGATGGCGGCGATAAGATTTTTAACTTCCTTGACGGTGGTTCTTGGAATTTCTTGATTGTAATCAGTATTTGTCAGGATTGTAAAACTTGTGCTGACGTGATTGTCATTAGATTGGAAGGTGTTATATAAGTGTTCAGCGAAAACTGTAGCTTTTTCGTGGGCATTTCTTGCCCAGCTACCGTCGGATTTCTTGATGGCATGGGACAGTGTGGTAGGTCTTTTGAATCGTTTGGTGGCTTTCCATAACGAATAGTTCGTATCTTCGTTGGGAGAAAGACTATAGATGTATGAGTGGAATTCATCATTGCAATGCTGCAGTATTAGCTGTTTCACTTCTTTGGTGATTGCGTTGTCTTTTTTTGTTGAAAGAAGTTTTTTTGCTTTTGTCACTTGTATTTTATTTTACGTTTGAGCTTAATTTTTTGAATGATGTGTTCTGGATATGAATTAAATTGTCGTTTACATTTTGCTGGTTTAGTGGACATCCATCCTGCCTCTTGAATAAGATTAGTAAAATTAATCACAGCTGATTCTATTTGTTCAGGGGTTTTTAATGGTATATTGCAGTTTATATTGACTTCTAAGTAGTTTTTAAAGTGTGCCCAGTTTGTGGTATTGTTGCATAATGTTGTCATAGCTTGGGTAATAACGGGTTGGTGAAGATAGTCTAGTAGTATCGGTGAATGATCTGAACTGAGATCAAAGCAGGAGTGTACTTGAAAGTGAATTTTATTTAACCCTTTGATTATACCGAAGTCTAGTAAGTCAGGTGATTTGTCGTATGCAGCGGGCCAGTAGGTTGATTCATTGGTTGTTAGTGTATCTAGGGATAGTGTTCGTATAGTTTGTTCTAGCGTTTTTCCTCTGGGCGAGTTTGTTTTAGAGCCCCATAGAGCGTGCTTGGCGATATAATCACCAACAGCAATGAATTTGTTTCCTAGACTTTGAAAGAAGTTTGTGAATTGGTCTAAAGAGATTTTCTGCTTTGGGGGGGCAGTAAACTGCAGCCAGCGTGAGTTTGTGGTGCGTTGTGTTAATTGTTACTGAGGTAGCTTGTATGTTCATGTGTGCTATTGTATTTTGGAGGAAATGTTTGATGTCATTTTTTATGATTACTGCTGTTCCACCACGAGCCTTACCAGCTGGATGATTAGTGGTGTATATATTGTAGAGTGGTATTTTCATATAGTTTTTATCTGTTAGGTGGGCTTCTGCTACAAGCATTATATCGATTTTATTGATACTTAGAAAGGTTTTTAATTCTGGTAATCTTTGGTGTAGCCCGTTCGCGTTCCAGATAGCGATTTTTAATTTATAGTCCATTGTTATTTTGGTTTGTTAGTAAGCACGTTAGTAAGTAGTTCTAACAATAAGTTGATTTGTTTTGATTGTTCTTTTAACAGTTGTGATTGTTCGAATATCATGGTAGAGATGGATTCAGTGTTTTTTGCAGTTTGTAACAATAATTTTTAAATTTCAGATGTTTCTGATATTGATTCGTCATGTGTTATAAGAGGTTGCGTTCTGTTCCGTGTTATGTCAGCGTAGGACATTGTTCGTGGGGTCGGGTGACTGTGTGTATTGTTAGTGATACTATTTCGAATATTAGTCTGAGCTGGTGAAGAGGCAGTGTCTATGATTTTTTTAGCTCTAAGTGTAGGGTATAGTTTTTGCTGTAATTGTTTTCTTATTATACAACCTCTGTAGCTGGCTGGGTGATTTCCTTTGCAATTGTGACATTTTACTTCGTCTATTTTGCCGGATGTTGGGCAGTTTGAGGTGAGGTGCATGCCAGCACATTTTACACATGCAGGATTTCTAAAGCAGTAATTCTTTGTATGCCCGAAGCTTGACAACGTATGCATTGCGGTATATCTCTTTTGATTTTCGGTGGTTCGTATGTATGTGACAATGGTAGAGAATACTTATTTAACGAGATGAAAGATTATTGCGTACAAAGAGGTATTAATTTCTATTTAACACTTCCACGAACCTCTCAATTGAATGGTGTTTCAAAACGCATGGTTAGAACAATAATAGAAAAAGCACGCACGATGATAAGTGGTGCTAGTTTAGATAAAGTATTTTGGGAAGAAGCAGTACTTACTGCTACATATTTAATTAATTTAACCCCGACTAAAGCTTTAAAGCAGTGCTCCGCAACCGCTGTGCCGCGGCACACTAGTATGCCGCGATGATTTTCTCGAGAATAATTAAATTTTTTGACAACCACATTAGTTAGGAATTTCTCTAAGTCAAATATTCCTCTAACTTTTCGCCAATATGTAATTTCTCTGAGTCGAAATTATACATAAAACAAAAATATGTAGTTACGTTGTATGTATGTCATGTACATATACGTACTGTGAGTGTTGGGCGTATTGCGCCACTCGAGCGTCGGCACCTTTATGTCCGAGTGACGACGCACTTTTGTTCTATCTACTGAACCGATGACCGTTAGTCAGTCGTCATCCGAACGCGAAATAATAAAGACGTTGGCCCACCGAACACCGCATTTTTAGGTAATATTATTGTTATATCCTTAAAAAATATGGACAAGTATTTACGAGGAAAATACTCGAATTCACTGACAAATGATAATGAACCTAGCACAAGTAGTGCTGTAAAAAACAGAAGATTTTTGAAAGAAAGTATAACGAAGACTACATTCGATATGGATTTATGTGTTGTGATAAAGAAACGCCACCCAAACCAGAATGCATCATCTGTGGAGAAATGCTACCTAACGAAGCAATGGTACCCAGTAAACTGCTTCGCCATCTCAATTCAAACCATCGCAGTTACGCTAAGAAGGATAAATCATTTTTTCTTAGGCTGTTAGATCAAAGGCGAAAACAAAGGCAATCACTGTTATCGTCAGTCACAGTTTCTGATAAAATGTTAGAAACTAGTTACCATGTTGCAAGATTAATTGCACGTCAGAAAAAACCACATACTATTGGTGAGACACTCGTTAAACCAGCATGCATAGAAATTGTTAAATCCATGCTTGCGCATAGAGAAGTTAATGAAGTGAAAAAAGTACCGTTGTCAGCTGATCCTGTTAAAAAACGTATCAACGATATGTCGAGCAATATTTTAGGAATACTAATTGCAAAACTGAAAACGGCTCAGAAGTTTGCACTTCAAATTGATGAGACAACAGACATTAAAAACCGAGCACAACTGATAGCTATTGTACATTTCGTTGATGAGGGCACCATAACCATAAAAGAACACTATTTATTTTGCAACCAGCTTCCAGAGCGAATTACCGGCGAGGAAATTTTCCGAGTAACAGATGATTTTTTCAAAACCTATGATATTCCATGGAGTAATTTTAGTAGTATTTGCACGGATAGTGCTGCGGCAATGATGGACAATAAAAAAGGTTTTATTTCGTGCGTAAAACGGCAAAATCCTAATATAGAAATTACACACTGTTGCATACATCGCGAAGCATTCATGATTAAGAACTTGCCAATGGAACTATTGCAAACGATAAATCAATGCATTACTATCATAAACATTATTAAATCAAGAGCCCTAAATTCGCGTATTTTTAAACTAATGTGTGCAGAAATGGGATCGGATTATGAATCCCTATTGTTTTACACTGAGGTACGTTAGCTATCCCGAGGCAAAGTTTTGGCTAGATTGTTTGAGCTTCGCAACGAGGTTCGTGAGTTTTTGTTAAAACAAAATATGACCGAACTACACCAACTTTCTGAAGATAATCACTGGATGGCCAAACTTGCGTATATGGCTGATATCTTTGAGCACCTGAATGAACTGAATAAAAAAATGCAAGGGCGAAGCGAAAATTATCTGACGTGTTCCGGCAACTTAATGGGGTTTAAAAATAAGCTCGAACTTTGGCAAAAAGAGTTTCAAAAAGGATCTCTAGAAATGTTCCAAAGGACTTGCAAGTCCATGATTAAAAACAAACAATTAATTCTGGATCTGATTCAACCACATTTAAGTTTCTTGAAAGAGAAATTTAATCACTATTTTTTCACAATTAATGCGGAGCAATACAATTGGATAAGAAATCCTTTTCTAGCCGATGCCGAAAATTCAACAGAAGCACTTTCCCTTCAAATTCGAGAGGAATTTATAGAATTGAGGAACGACAGGACGCTGAAACTCAGCTTCAGTGAAATGCCATTGGCTGATTTCTGGATTTCAGTTAAGAAAGAATATCCTCAAATTTCTGACAAGGCTATTGCAATTTTGCTTCCTTTTTCTACGACATACTTATGCAAACAAAGTTTTTCGACACTGGTTCTAACTAAAAATGACAAACGATCGTGTTTAAAGGGTCTTGACCATGAACTTCGGGTAGCACTTTCTAATATAGAGCCAAATATAAAATGTATATGTTCATCAAAACAAGTTCAAATATCGCATTAATAAATTAGTTATTATGTTTAAACTAACATTGTGTAGCGACCAGCTACAGCGAAGAACATTTGGCGAGCAGACTACCAGCACGGTTTATGAC